ATATGCTTTAATATAATTTGTTTTCAAAAAAAAAGATATTTGCATTCTTTTGAAGGCCTTTCATGCGAAAATAATTTGTATTATTATCTAAGTGGTTTAAATGAACGGTTCTTGCAAAAGTTCAAAAGTATTTAACCTCTCTAAGATTAAGAGCTACGAATTTGACAAAACAGATAAAAACACGATTTTTTGTTTGTTTCAAACATTTATAAATGCGGAACATGGAAATATCGTTTCGCTATTAGCAGTTTGTTTGGTTCAATTTCGTCAAAATAAACCAAAACAAATCGTTCATGTCAAGTTTGTAGCCGAACACGCCTTCTTATATTTCCGTTTAAATGCGAATAATTTTTTGAAATCGGTCTAAAAAAATCGGAGAAAATATGATTTACTAGTAAAATTGAACTATATATTGAAAGAGAAATAACTCTAATGGTCTTAACCTATCTTGTATCGAAGCATTCCCCCGTAATACTGAAATCTTCCTTCGTGTTCTCTTTTCAAACACGTATTGTATTTTCCCAATGAAAGTGGAGAACATTTTGAAGATACCATGCGCTTCATTTTGTAATGAAAACGCGCATTTCGTATAAAATATATTATACTGATAAGTGATGCTTGAATAAAAACAAGTCGAAGACCAAATTCAATGCGAAGTTTAAGAGCATGGAAAATAAAATATTCCTAAAAGTTGTGCCAAATCTTGCTTATGCCATCTATGCCAAGGGTAGAAAAGCCTTAGTATTGCGAATAATTCAACATTGTATTAACAGTGAACTTGAGTATAATGAACGATATCAGTGGTATTTTATTCCACTACACTTGATACCCACGAGGACGAAACATCAACCCAGTGGTTTTAAAAACTCACCAAATATACTAGGCTTAGTAAATCTGATGAACGTCTTGTTTACATAGGAGTCCTCAGTTTCTTTCGCATAAAAAAAATCAGTTTCAATGCAAAATAAAAAGATAAGATGAAATGAGAAATCAAAATTTGATTGAAAAGTAGATTCATTGTTAAGTTATCATGAAATCTCTGTTGACTTGAAAAGAGCATTTCTTCTTCTTTTCAAAGAAATTTCCTTAAGATCTCACTAATTTACGTCTTACCTTTTGAATCCAACAATTTATTCTCAAACACACGGAATACTTTGTTACTAGATACAAAACAAGGGACCAAAAATGTTATTTATTACAATAATCTTAAATCTTAGATCTTAGAATGAACGATTCTGTGTGATAAATAAATTCACGATGATATTTCTTTTTCATTTCATTCCCAGAATTGTCTCTTAAGCGTGTGTGTATATAGGTTTCCCTGTGCTTGACGTTGAGTGTCTTGTTTTTGTAACGATGTGGCCTATTTATATTCTTTTCTGTACTTCATTTTTTCTCATTCGAGTAGATTTTCTGTGCATAAATATCAGTTGCTCGACACAATGTGAAGCTTTTTTAGCTCGTTCGATGCACTCACTCGCCAAAAAGGTTCACATTGTCACTTGCAGTTGATATTTGAGGTTTTAATGTGTAGATAATCCGATAATCTATACTTATTCTATATTTTGTACTTTATTTCTTCTCTTAATTTCGGGAACAAATTTCCATCACAGCATTTTCCCGTTAACAATGAATATGGATTAACATAGAAGTAAGATGTGGTATGACTGTCAATGAGACAACCATCCACCAGACACCAAATGACATAGAAGTTAACAATTATAGGCAACAGTACGGCCTTCAACAATGGGGTAAACCCAAACCGTAAAGTCGGCTATAAAAGGCCCGAACATGCAAAATGTATAACAATTCAAACGAGAAAAACCAACAACCTTATTTATAACAACAAAACAATTTACGAAAATCAAATATGACAAACATGAACCATCGACAACCACAAAGCTATAAGGCTCCTAAATTTGGACAAGAATTGTTCTTCTTAGATTTATGGTAATAAGTTTTATTATTCGATAAAGTATCCTCTTGTATGCATTGTGCCACTTATCCTGCTATGTGAAACTCATAATATATCTCATTACAGTTCAAGTGTTTACTTATACGTCGTTTAGGCCATGCTATTTTAATCATTGTTCGACCCGAAGTAGTAAGTGTGACAATCGGAAGCCGGGTCGAATTTAAATTAACTTTTCTCCTAATTTAAGGTAGAGTTAATTTAGGGCAAAGCCGGGAACATAATGGTCTCGCATTCTATGTGTGAAGTTGTTATAGTGACATATAGCTTTTCAACTGTTTCGATTTTAATACATCCTTTGCTTTTAAATATTCGGCGTCGAGCGGTTCTGATCAAAGTAAATCCAGAAAAGCGCTTCCTACGCATGCAATTTATAGTGCTATTTTCATTTTTATTCTTCTGTCATTCGAATTCAGAGATGCCAGATCATGGAAGAAGCAATGAAATCAACTGTTAGCAAAGAAATGCGGCATCACATAGAGCAAGGGGGAAACAAGAAACTTTATATCTATATAGGGAGAGACCATGATATAGGAGAAAATTTACTCTTCCACACGGAATACTAGTGAAATTGAAAAGACGACACTGAATATGAGAAATTCCGAGTTTTTACCGACCAGCCAAGGATTGCCGGAAAAAAAATAGTTTTTTGAAAAAATGATAATGAGATGCAAGAATGTAAACAGATCCCAAGGATAGATGCGAGTAATTAATTCGGGTTTAGGGTCCAGGGTTCCACCCTGAACAGATTTCATAGTGAGAAAACAGTTTTATTTTTTTTCTGTGTATTTGCTGTCGACTAATCAATCGCATCATTATAAATCAGTATTGCACACACATGCCATGTACAAAGAGGTATCTCTGATTTTACTATTTTTAAAATATTGTCTATGTACTATTACACTTATCATATGATGTCCGTTTGTCTGTCATTTATCTGGGCGTATAAAGGAAAGGGTGGTTGCTGCAACTGTATTATTAAATGTTGTCGTTGAGTAGCTGCGAGTATAAAATATAATAAAGATTACAAATGAACTCTATATCTTATCATTTGTAGAAATGGGCAATATATATTTTGAAAGAAAGTGATTTGTCTAACATATTTGCTGATGTGATTTATGCATTCAGCATTCGTATATAACTGTATATATAGAATCAACTACGTCATTAGGTGCATGAGGAATGTGCAATGTACACATTGATTAGTTGTAGACAAATCCTCACTTATTACTAACATTCTCCGAATTTTCGTATGTTAACCGTTATCAGAGAAAAAATCATTAAAATTGAAAATACAGTATTGATTTTATATTCTTTGTAATTGTTTGCCTGCCTTACATATTCAGCTAGAGTAGTAGAAACTACTCGCCCTTTTCGGACTAAAAGAAAAAAAGCAAACAAGTCCACAAAACGATTCACAGGAAACTTAGAATGAGATAAAAGACCCGGAAAAAAACCGGAGATGAACTCCTGTGTTAAAGAAGGATAATCAGTTCCTGCTCCATAAGAGACACCAGTCTCATTGACGGTTGCTCTCGTTGAGCAGCGATTACTTTCCCCTCTTATGATAAGTGGAACTCTATGATGTTATCAACAAGAAAAGGAGGACAGAGTTGTGGACTACGACAAATCTAATAAATCCATGGTCATCTACGACACAGATATTCCGTCATAGTTAATCAAAGCATGGCGTCTGTAAAACAGTTGAAAACATTACCTCAGATGCATCATTATTAGTCCACGTTTCACTTACTTCATTAAAAGCTGCAAACCTTTATCAAGGAAAAAGAGAATACATAAAACAGAAATTTCACAAAAGAAACTAGGACATTTCCGTTTAATATTTAACTAGGCCGTGTGCAGAATCATACAATCGAAATGTTGACGAGGTCTTCAATACAAATCATTAATCTAATAGCTAGTAGCCATGGATAATTTTATTGCGTAGTTTAGAGAAGTGTTGTCCAAATGAAAAATGGAGACTACTCATCACAACTACAGATAAACTGAAAAAGAAAAAATATTAACGTCTCATTGCAAAAATCGATTCTTATCCGTGTAAACAAGACTTTCAGTGTTTACAGAGTTCCCGCATTAAATCGGACTTCTGATACATCTGTTTAAGACCTTTACTTATTGGGGTATGAAAAAGTATTCTTTGAATAGACTTCGTAGAATCGTTTTAATCTTAAGAGACAACATTAGAATACCGATGACCTAATTCGTTATTCATTTGGAATATACCAACCAAAAATATCCTGAAAGAATCTCATGAACCACCAACGGATGGTAAAGGTGCTGACAAGATTGTTATTCTGGTGTCGATTAAGAATTTAGATCGCAAAAAATATATCTATTGAGATGATATTGATTGATTGATATTTGCCTGCTAAACGTTCAGTGGCTATTGAGATGAAACACATACATTTCAAATCGGTCAACACATTCGTGATGAAGAACATTTAACTTAGAGCAAAATCCTGTTTGTGAAGTCAGTATAATGTTAACATACTCGCGCGTAACGTATTGAGATATGTAAACTCATTATACTTGGATTAAGATAAGTTACTACTGTACAGAAGAAAGGAAAGTTGACTATGAGAAAACTTATATAGAGATCTTAGTTATCAATTTTCGTCAAATTTAAGAAATGATAAATATAAGAGGCAGACCTTCTACTTTCTAAATGCCTGTGCCAAGTCGGGAATTTGACAGCTATTTTTTACTCGTTCCGTTGGTTGATAACGTTTGATTCTGTCCGTTTTTCATGGACTTCGTCGTTTTAAATTTACCTAGGAGTTCGGTATTTTTGTTATACTTTTTTTTTCGTTATAGTATCATTCATGGCTAGTTCACCGGGTTAAATCAAATGTGTGTTGTTGGTAAACAGGACATCCTCAATTTATTTGTACGTGTAACTAAAGAATTGGGCAAGTTGCTGTTTGTTCTTGTAATTGAGAAGATTTTGTTTGAATCCGAAGAAAACAAAAAGGGTGCAAAACACGTAAATAATGATGGCATATAAAAAAACACTTTAACTGTTTATTCTATTTAAACAAAACAATACCTCCAATGATTGCAACGGTTAACTTACTCTCCATGTGAGAATTATGTCTATAATTGTTTTTTTATAATTTGGAGTGTTGATTCATCAGTTGTCCTATCCAAAGTAGTTGACGTAGTAACGACTATGGTACTCTCATCATTAGTTATTTTGTCCAAAGAGTGTGTCACAATTTCATAAATACATAATTAAACGTATACTGATTCATGAATAGATATTTATGTTGTTTCTTGCTGCAAAATTCTTCGTACACGACAATGCATCCTCTTGAAAATCTACGACCCCGGACCTTCAATTCTTTGTGTTTATGAAGTAGTTAATGAGAGATAACCAATTGATTGACTACATTTAGACATATTTAGCAGAACATTTATCAAAAACATGCGATAGAGCTAAATCAGTCTCATCGTTACACTGAATAACAATATGAAGACCATTTAATCTCTGTTTTAAAGCTTTAGCACTGGTGCTATAAACCATTTTTTGTCTAGTTGTAGCTGTATCTGGACTCCTGAAATAATAATAAAATACAACTTACGTCAATGTAACGTTAGAATAATGGCACCATGGTTTATGTTTTTCAAAAGCACACATATATTTGTAATACCATAGCTTCATGTTACTGTGCAAGAGTTAATACACTTTGAATATAACTGACAGAATACTTGAAAAATAGATTGCATAGTGTTAGTCCTGCTTTTTCTAAGTTTCTGTGTTGGTCAGTAGTGAATTATACTTGATTGTCTGTTTCTCCTGAATGTTATTGATTTTTTTTACCTAAGGATCAAATTTTCAGAGGTATATAAAAATCGTCTTCTAGCCTTTTCTTTTAATATATTTTCTCAAAATATATAAATTTTGTTTATACTAAAAACCAGTTCAAGAAACACCTGAAAGCAAGGCTGAAAAGTGCAGGTATATTTGAACCCACATTGTAACAATGTGCTTGATATTTCTTAAATTATGAGTTGCATTGGAATAGCCCCATATGTCAAAATCTAATCATTCGGTAGCAGAGTGGCAAGGACTACATATTTATTATGTTTATATTTTTCCCATGTAAGTAGGTGTAGATCCTAAATTTCATGTTCGGCATGAACGTTCAGGTTAAAAATAGTAACGTTGAAAGTATTCAGTGACTTCTTTTCGGTCATGCGAAATGAAACCTTAGATTACGGCGTTCTCCTTGTTGATAGAAACTTATATAGACTGCTACCGGCAAATAGGTTGAACATGGGAATCTATACAAAAGGCAGAGCTGATAGCTTAACATCTGATTGATATGGAGTTTAACCAGATTTCTGACGAACTAAGATATATATGGAGTTCATGAGTGATTGTATACGTATAAATATAAAGATGTTCTTGCAAATGATTCAAATGCGTTAGTATGGGATGTTCTTCGGCAAATTAATAGTGTATATTAAAATATTTATATTCCATATTGTCAATATGTGTTCTAAAGATGTGTACTTTGAATAAACTCACCAAAGAAAGAATGCTAATTTTTCGCTATGAATATCATTACATGAAAATTTGACGTCAAACAATCCATATCGACATTGTCCTTTCTTTTCAGCTTCTTTTAATTTGTTTACGAAATCTTGATATGTTTTATCTGAAATAAACAAAAACATTTAAAATATTGTTTTCTGACTATTCTTATATTACATATACTTTATTGTATATTGTGTTTTTGATATGATTTTTTTTTAGAATTTCGTGCCATCATAACACATTATTGTCTCAAGCGGTCATGTTGAGCTCTGTTTTCGAAACACCAATCATAAACTCTACTGGAAACTGAGAATAGCCTATTCAAGAACAAAATAAGCATTAATGGAAAGTTGAATTGACCACAAGTTCATTTTAAAATACCTTTACCAAATATTTTAACCCGGTACGGGACGTACGAACAGACGGACACACGGACCAGAAAACATGATGTCCCTATACTATCATACGCAGGGCATAAAAATGAACTAATATATGCCGATACTCTGTCTAGAGTGTTGAATTATGGTAACAACACATACCTTATACCCATCATCAGACTAAACTGAATGTTATATAATTTTTGTTGTAATTATTTCTATACATTGTGAGCAAATGTCATGTTTGTATTATTCTGTTTACTTCCAATTAGATTGCGGATAATTTAATCATAGTCTGCATTTCCACTAAAAGGTTTCTAGTCAGAAAATACTATTTAAATGTTAGATTATGGTGATTGAACAAATTCGTTTTAGCTGTTTTGCTAATTTAAACTTTGCGACTATTTTACTTGTTCTTTTTAATATGGGGTTATTACCGTAATTAAAAAAGACTGCAGAAGTGCTGAAATGTATCGGAAAAATAAGGATCGTTTTATATATCCATCTGTATATCATAATTCTAAATGCCGTGAACTTCTAGATACTTCTAGTGGAATTCAAAGGTGTGAATCATTAGATAACGTGTCCTGCAGTATCAAAGCTTTACAGACATAAAAAATGTAAATATTTTTGTAACTTTGCAAGCTTTAATCTCACAATGTATACTTTAGAATAACGTTATAGCTTAAAAATTGGTTAAAAAACTTTAAAGAAAGTTTCATTTTGTTCTGAAATGGTAGTTCAAAACGACGATACTTTAATGTTTCATGCTTCATGTTAAGGAAGAGCGTTAATGATCTTCTATTTTAAGATGAAAAGAAAACAGATCAATAACAATGTATATTTAATTGAATTCTTCATTAAAATTGTTGAAATATTTCCAACACACAACATGACTATGTTCATCGCCATGTGTATAATGTAAAAATATTGTCACAATATATACATCCAGTATGTATCTGGCTAGTCTCCAGAAACCATAACTAACACTTCGATTATTTGTCAGACACAATTGTTTATTTATGAAAATGTGTGCCATGTCTGCCAAAACCTCAAGATGAGAGAGGAATGCTTTAAAAATGAGTTAATAATTTCTCTTCGTTGTTGTTTTTCGTATCACTGACCGATCAATAATTTAAACGCTATCCCATTCTACAAAAAAAAACTCAACAGATGGTCACGGTTAGGGTAATTATCGATAATTACCGATAATAATAACAAAACCAGATCTATAAGATAATTCAAAACTACAGACAAGTGCTTGATTGCTTAATTTTGTTGTACTAAAAGATAAATCACATTACGGTTCTGCAAAATAGATAAATCAAACAAACTCTGCCTGTACATCAACATTTGCTTTCTCAACCATAATCTATTAACTAAAATTTTTGACAATATTATTTTTTTTATTGATATTTGTGCATTCATACGATGGCGATAGTCAAACTTCGATGGAATTTGTGTACCTATAAGCCATTGTCTACCACTCTTCACTTTCTTGCGGCTTTTCAAAGTTTGGCTTTCTACAGCCGTTGGTTATTTGTCTAAATTAATCACATTGTATCCCGAATAATGGAGGTTACTTCAATGCAGTTTTATGAAATTTCAATATTGTTATATTTACTTATTAGGTCAAAAACTATATTTAATGATTATTAGCATTTTCAAAACCATGATTAGAACTTTTAAAAAAAGTCTTAAATATGTCTCAACGGTTTTTAATGGGTTTTTATTGCTGACAGCTAGAACATCTATTCTGAAAAAATACGTAATCTTATTTATAGTTTAGGCATGGGCACCACTCATCCCAAAAATCAAGCTTTTCTATCAGCAAACTACGCTTGTTATCGTGACAACGTCAGTTGGCTTTTTCCATCTTAACGCTTCAATTTTACACATTCCAAGACGTACATGATTAACTGTACCAGCGATTGCTTTATCCAACTCGAACATAGAAAACGTTTTACTATTGTTTGTAATACTCACGTTTCCCTCCTCTTTCCTCCACTACAATACTTTTTAAATCGTCTGTTATTTTGTAAATCACATATTGCCACTTATGATCGCGTTTTATTTCAAAAAATACTCTTACACACTCATCACAAACTGCAACACCAGAAGACTGCAATGAAATAACATGGAGCAAAAATAATATTATGTAACAAATAATTTTTTAAAATATGTTACCATATGGACAAAAAAGTAAAGGAAAAGAAGCTAATAATGCTACCTTATCCAACACACCACACCACCCGAAAGCAGTCTTAGTACTACCTGATTCCCGAGACTACCGAACAAATATGGATGACACCTACAAACCGGAAAAAAGGGACGGGATTGTAGTTACGACATCTATGAAACAGATATTCCATAACGGTCAAACAACTCGTGATGGCGTCCGTAAAATTAACGAAGGGATGGTTTCAACTTCACTACTTGAAACTCTTGGTTTACTAGCTTCCTTGTGAGCAGCAACCCTCTATCAAGAAAATCATGAAAGAAAATACAAGCCCTGGAATATCGTATCAACTGGGAAGTATATACATTTGTACTAAATATTAACAGTACAGTAACAATAGTTATCCTGATAAATCCTACAAATGATAGTGACTATCTATTAAAAAAATCGTTCATATAATATACATATTGATGAGGAAAATATATATCAGAATTTTTTTACTGTGCTGTAAAAAAGATATAACAAACTTTACATACTTCCAGTTTTTGTATTCTATACATATAAATATATAAATTGTGCATTGCTAGAAGAACATGTAAGTGCCAATTCAGAAGATCAATTTCGGTATCAGATAAAATATCTATAGATTCTATATACATAGCAACACTCGTAGCAGAAGACAATTGGCCTCCATTACAACCGTTGTAAGAGAAAACATACAGATAAAATAAATAAACATCGATGTCTTTATGTAAAACAATAGTAGAACCATGTTAACATGTTAGATATTACTTTTACTTTTACGAAAAGGGGTAAATAATTATACTTACAGGTCCGGCGTTATTAAGATTAATATACCTAGTATCTCCCATTATATTAATAAGACAAGTTACTTATCCGTTATTGCTAAATAGTTTACATTCCGTAGCAAAGTCTGAAAGTTTATTAGAAACATATCACCACTAGAGATATTTATAATACTATTGAGTAACAAGGCATCGTACATTTGATAATTTCTGACTCACAAAAGATTTTTTTCCTTGTTTCATGTGTGTATTCATACGTCATACATGTTATATATTATAAGAAATACCAGAATGATTGTCTAATACAATTACAATATAATTACTCTTGGCAAGGTGGTAGTTATTTTGGTTATGATTATAACTACATGGTAAATTTACTTAATTATATGATTATAATGTACAACAAGTACAGTTTTAGATTAAGGAAAATCTAAGAAAAAGAATGCTACATACTGGTGGTTCAACGTGGAACAATATGTAGTGGTTCAAGGTTTTATATAGAAATAAAGAGATGTATCATGGTAGCCAATGAGACAACTATATACTAGAGTTCAAATGACGAAGATAAAAACAATTATAGGTCACGCCTTCAACAATGAGAAAACCTTATATTGATTAGTCAGCTATAAAAGGCACCGACATGAAAAACGTGATTGAAACGAAAAAACTAACGGTCTGATTTATACAATACAATTTGTAAAAACAAATAAGACAGAAATGAAAAAAACAACTACCACTGAATTAAAGGCTCCTGACTTGGGACAGACACATAAAGAATGTGGCGAACTAAATCTCATATCTTCCAAAATTGAACTGAGGAAAAGTTACACAACACAATTTTTGGGTTATTTAATGAAAACTCGGTTACTCGATATAATTTTGATTTGTCAACCCTTAATTCATCTATACAGATATAAAATATTATTACATTAAATAGACTTGGGAAAATTAAAAGTTTGATGTAAGGAATGATGCGTTTCTATCATTGTTCAAAGGTAATGTGTTGACCTCTATATTGGCAATTTTCGTTAATTCATTTTGATGGGTTATTGTGTCACTGACCTTTTCTAAGAATTTTATTATATGGGTATGCGGTTAGACACTGATAAAATAATGTAATCGAATCTTACATCTTCCTTTTCTTGAAATAAACTCAAATTGTTCTTAATGGCTGGGGTATGGCAACTGAAACATTTCGACCATCAGAAGTAGTTATATTACATATATGCACTAATAAATAATTCCGCCAACTTAATGTTTTTAATTATTTCCAGGTCGAGTTACGTAGTTGTCCAACCCATTGGTAACTTAAAACGGTCAAACGTATTTGAAAACTGATGGAGAGGCGTTGGCATTGAGACTGTCAAGTGTGTTGATAAAGGTTTAAAAGAAATTGCTGGAATCAATAAGGCGATAAACTATGATTTGAAGAATGCAAAAAGAATAAAAGGCACACAATCTGTGTTTTTTTTATTTGACCCTGGATTATTTTTCATAAAATTCTCGATGTTCTGAACAAACCTGCAATAGGTATACAAAAGACAATAGACACTATTCAGATATATACATATTTCTTAAAACTAATACCAGAAAAAAATCAACATATCCGAAATGCTTCTGTTAACAAACTAGTACAGTGTACAACTGCAAATGTACTTTTGATGAAGAGTTTGTGCGTGTTTTCTGTGCAACCATCGTAGGTTAGCACTGAAGTCGGTTGGTTTTACAATTTCGTCAGATAACAAAAGCAAAATTCCAAAACTGGAACAGAGTTATTCCGGTTGCTATTAATTCCTAGACCATAGTTATCTACAAACATAAAATGTAGAACATTAAACTTACCATTTTCCTGGAATGTTACAATACGAAGATCCTTTACATTGAAAAACTTTTTTTTTATACTGAACGAGGAGCGTCACTGAAATGCAATAATACAGGATAATTACGGTCATTTGACCATCGTCATTACCAAATGTTATCAATTAGTTACATGAAAGATGTTTAACATTTGGTAATAATTCAGAATCAATGATATGATAAGTGTTTGGATGTGGGTTGGTCTTTATTGTCTTCTTTATGTTTCATTATATATGTTTGACCTTGTTCCTTCAAAGAAACTCACGTATATAATATCTAGACAAATTTATGGTGGATCATCACTTTATAATTCCTCGGATTGAATTTTCTTTGCCAAAATGTAGATTTTATAACAATTAGAAAATCTGGTAAGACTGCCAATGAGACAACTATCGACCAAAGTTGAAATGAAGTGGATGTAAGCAATTATAGGCAACCGTACGGCCTTCATAAGTGATAAAATCCCATACCGTATAGTCGGCTATAAAAGGCCTCGACATGTAAAAAATAAAACAATTTAATTGAGAAAACTAACAGACCAAATTGATATAACAAAACAATTTACGAATAATAAATATGACAGACATGAACCAACGACAACCACTGTTTTTTTTTTTAAATATAATAAAAATCATGGGTCACTATTTTCTTTTTCAAGCTACAAGTTGTGCAATAATGCTCATGTTTGCACAGATTATTAATGAAAAAAAAACACTTTTTGTGAAAAGAAAGAATACTATGAGATACAACTTTGAAATAAAATATGTAAGGATAGGTTTTATAATATGCTTTTAGAAAATATAAAGAATAAATGTGTCACCGATTCTTAAAAAAAAAATAACTATAAGAGCTATGGTAAAGTTGAAAAATTGAATCGAACAAAACAAATATTCGGTATTTGTAAAAACAGTTTTTATACTGCAATAAATCACTTAACACTCTTTATTTGAATAAATACTCTTAACAATAAATTGCCATTCTGTCTGAAAATTGGGAACTGCTATTTTACAATTTAAGATGGCGGTATACAGTTAATCAACCTTACACCATACCAAATACAGAAAAGGAGTAGTGACATTCCAGTAAGCAGTAATCATCTCATCAAATATATTGATCTTCTTGTAGTAATTTACACAAGTATAGCTTTACTGAAAAGCTTTCTAGGCATTGGTGATGTTCATTTACATTTTGTGATAGAACTACATTCCCTACCTAGAAAACATTAAAAAGAAATACATATGTATATGTAATGATCTTTTTCATAGCATATCTATGTAATATTCTCTGTAAGATAAGCTTAGTCTCGTTCAAAGCTAATTCGTTTAGATGTAATCGTATTAATATCATGTATTTGCTTCGATGAATAGTTCTTTTAATTTCGAATTAGTTATTTGTTTTGCAGGTTATGTCTTCAATTCATGTTTCTGCTTTGACAAGTAATTCAATAAATGATTGCACAGAAACATTCGAAGACACGACACGCATTTCTTCTATTACTGGTACGATTGATATAAGATAAGATATTTTATTGGTTTAAAATCCAAAATTATAGGATTGTTACCAAGACATATACATAAACATACAAACATATATCTTGTCGTCTGTTTATGTAGTTCATACGTGTTTCTCGTTTCTCGTTTTTATATAGATTAGACCGTTGGTTTTTCCGTTTGAATGGTTTTACACTAGTAATTTTTTGGGGCCCTTTATAGCTTGATGTTCGGTGTGAGCCAATGCTCCGTATTGAAGGCCGTACCTTGACCTATAATGGTTTACTTTTATAAATTGTAACTTGGATGGAGAGTTGTCTCATTGGCACTCATACCACATCTTCCTATATCTATAAACATATATCTGACCACATTTATAAACATTGTATATACATATTTGTATATCCCCTCCATTGTTAAAAGAAAATATTGTTACAATAATAAATGTATATAATCTCTGCTGAGGAGGTGGTACCACAAAGTTATTTAGTACTCAATAAAGCATTTCTAGAATTGTTCATGTCGCTTATGAATTTTACAATAATTCTAATTATATCAGTCTCACCGCACGTATACAAAAATTCAAATCTTGCTTCATCAGTCATACTTAAAAAAGAGGGAACTATTTCACTTACTTTGGAAAATAATTGTTCTCTAATTGTATTTAGATTTGTACATTTTATGGTGAAATGAAATTCGTCTTCTACTTCTAAAAGACACAAGGGACAAATTCTTTCTTCTACAGGAGTTTTAGTGTGTCGACCTTGTTCAATTTTAAGAACACTATTACTTATGCGAATTTTGGCAAAATGTCCTATTACTTTTCTATCAATATTTAACAATAAATAGGTTTCAAATTTGTAATTTTCTTTTAGCTGTCTATATGTTCTGAGCTTTTTACCGTGCAATGATTTATCATCACAAAAAATATTTTCTTTCCAATAATTTAGATATCTATCATTAAGTTTGGTATGAAGTGCATATAATAAACGCCTTTTTGAAATAGTATCATGATTTTCCCAAACATGTGAAAAATTGAATGTAGCAAGTAACTGTTCAATCTTTTTTGCAAATCCATTGGTTAATTGCAGGTTTGAACTATATACATCTTTAAGTAAACAATTATTACCAGATTTTATCACATACAACCAGAAGCCAATTGACAGTTTTAAAGCTTCTATAAAAAACTGGATAAATACCAAGCTAAATTGCTAAATTGACAGCTGTTTTGTTTACTGCAATTAAAGTTTTTGCAAATTTAATCTGAATTTTAATGGTAGCCAATGACCAATATTTTGACTCTAGATTTGTAATATCTTTAATATATATATAGAGACCAAACTTCACTACAATAAAGAAGTATAGGTTTAACACAAGCATCAAAAAGCTTGAGGTGAGGTAAAACATTAATGTCTTCAGAAAATAACAGTTTTTTAATACAAAATATAGCTTTTGAGGCTTTTTTACAAAGATGTCTCACTGCCTCAGTAAAACTACCAGAGGGTTTACACAGTATACCCAAATATTTATATTCACTCCAATTAAAGTTTTTTGCAAATGTAATCTGAATTTTAATGGTAGCCAATGACCAATATTTTGACTCTAGATTTGTAATATCTTTAATATATACATAGACCAAACTACACTACAATAAAGAAGTATAGGTTTAACACAAGCATCAAAAAGCTTGAGGTGAGGTAAAACATTAATGTCTTCAGAAAATAACAGTTTTTCTAATACAAAATATAGCTTTTGAGGCTTTTTTACAAAGAAGTCTCACTGCCTCAGTAAAACTACCAGAGGGTTTACACAGTATACCCAAATATTTATATTCTGTACAGTGTTCCAAAACATTATCATTAAAAACAAACTTGTCTTTTGTAATTTTTTTACCAGATTTGTTAAAAATCATAAC